CTGTTGTTGTTCCATGCATTTCTCCTGCAGCTGGACACTTTGTGCATGACAGGAGAGGAAGCTGAACACCTTCCATATGTGTTGCCTCTGACGCATTTTTGGTATCACCTGGCAGGACAGGGTTCCAAATAGAGTAGTCCTAGAATGAGCTGGAATTTTTACCATGTATACATTACTGAAACAGCGACGTTTTTGTTGGTTTGGGCATGTCGTGAGAATGGCAGGTGGTGCAGCATGGTATGCTCTGTATGGAGGACTTGGAACAGCGTCTAGTGTGGCTGAGAAGGCCAATTCAAGAGTAACAATCCCTTCCATACTGAAGACAAATACAATCTCTCCCCTGTCCGGCTCCCTGATTTTGTTTCTTTTGCGATTGCCTCTTTGCCTCGGCCTGCTGGACAACGGGCTCTTCAAATTGGGAGAGGCCGTGATGCACCGCCTGCCTCCAGATTCTATCACAATTTGAAGAGACCGTTGTCCAGCAGACCAGGGCAAAGAGGCAATCCAAGTCCTCCATACAGAGCATGTTACCATAGTCTCTCGAGACTGAAGGATGCCTAACTAACTTAACTAACTGCGCATATGAATTGTCTTAGAACAGCAGAGCTGGAAGGGAGCCTTCAGATCCTTGAGTCCAGCCCCCATCAAGGACCCACAGTGAGGAATCGAACTCCCAACCTCTGGCTCAGCAGCCAGAGACCTAAACCACAGAGCTATCCAGAAGTTCTCATCAGCATATGCAAATTGTATGCCAATCTATGTCATATTTCTTTAGCAATTAATTTCTACTTTTGAAGTTACACATAAATGTCCCTCCTAGTTGATGTCAAACTAAATCTTCAGAATAATAATAATAATAGAAAATCTGCCATTGCTTGTAAAAATAAAGCAGCAGCCTCTGGCCCTCATGAAGAAAATTATGACCAGGTTTCTTATGTGTTTGCTCAACCTACAATCCCAGTACTAACTTCAAAGGTTCTTTCTGTATAAGGCCACACTATATATAATAAATAACTTATCATTTGCTTAGTGCGAAATCATGTTAAGAGTTCAAGGGACATTAACTTTTGTGTCAGAGAAATCAGCCTGGTAAAGATAGGCGGGGTATAAATCAAATAAATAAATAAATAAATAAAATAAAGGCCAGTCACAAAGCAAAGCAAACTAGTTTGCAAATTACAGAACTTGAGAAAAGTTCCAGCTGAGACTATCAAACACAATAAGCCCTTGAGGAATTCTCCCTTCTAGTAGCAGGTCACAAAACCAAATACCTGGGGATGTTGCTATCAAGAGTTTTGCTGTCCTAGTGGCTAATCTTGGGTTGGGCCATATGAAATTGGCATAGGCAGGGAGAGGGTGGATGGATAGGAAGGAATAACCAGACAAGAAGACCTCCAAGGTCCCTTCCAACCCTAGATGTATGCCATCATCTCTGCGACAGGATAGTGGATTAACTCAATGATGGTATTTCACACATGCATTCATCTTTTTGCTTTTCAACAACCTGATGAAGCTCTGGTTGTTTTCTATCACTTGGATCAGCATCTCTTCCTTGATTACAAAGCTGCTGCAGCATTCCTACAGTGGTAGCTCTATCTGGTCTGGCAGTAGTCATGAGATATGAAAGCCTACCTCTAGCTGATCTGTTCTGGAAAAGAGTCACTTTCCTCCTTTTGGGTGTGTTGGGTGTGTGGGGTATTGCATAGGTTTGCATATGTGTTGTTACACTGTGGGTGTTTTGGAGGCCTGATGTCTCCAAAAGCTCAACTTTTGTTTCTGATTTAGTAAATATGACCCATGTGCTTCCCTTTCAATATTAGTGCCCAAATAATATGTTGCATCCTCTAACTCTTTGATTTTGACAACTTTTTTTAAAACGGTGTACATCTCTTTAAAGATGGTGCACAATCCGTTTGCCTCAACATCTCCGTCTATGTCCCCTTCTCTTCATGTACTGCTATCAGTTTGCCTTCCTGATTCACATCTGCCTCAGGTTGTGGAGGGATTGATACATCTTCATCTAGGAGAAGTCCAGCATGCTGGTCTTTGTTTCAGCTTTCTTTCATCCATCGGAATTAACCACATGTCTTATGCTGACTTCACCTGTTTTTAAGTTAACCACTTTATATCCTTTGTTGCCAGGAGCATAGCCTGATATACTTGATGGTTGGTACGCTGACGTGCTGCTCACCATGGCCATGTACTTCTTCAGCATACCATGTATCTCACTCTTCTTCAGCAAGTAGGTGATACAATATCTCAAGAAATCAGCCACAAAAATTGGGGTATATCTATTATAACCTACTGATGAGATACTGAGTGATCCGCACAAATCACTATGTATCAGATCCAGCACCCTGGTGCTTATTCTCTCAGTCCTTGGTAGGAATGAGGGCCTAGCACTCTTTTCTGTAATACAGCTTATTCACCTGGTTGTGTTGGTTGCATCGTGTGGACTTATCTTGATACCTGTGGCAAGTTTTTGCTCTTGCATCTCCAGAATGAATTGCTTTTGGATCTTGTATGTGAAGCGATGATACAACAGCCCCATGCTGTTGCCATCTTCTCTCTGAACTTGCACTGTGTTGATCTGTTGCTATTTATCTAGAATATTCAATTTATAGACACCATTAGATTTAACTGCTTGAAAATACATTTCACCATCTTTCATTACTGTACTCTGTCCACTTTCAAAATGTATAGAAAAAACTTTACCATCCAAAGCTGGTGCACTTAACATGTTATGTTGTAGTTCTGGAACAAACAATACATCACTTATAGTAGTCTCACTTATGGCATTAGGCAGTTCACATTGCAAAATGCAAGTCCCTTTTCCTTCAGTTTTCATGGAATCATCATTAGCAACTTAAGTATTTCCACTGGAAATCCTTTGCCATGTGACATGTCTTCCCACAGCTCTAGCAGCTGCTGTGAGGTGGGCCTCTTCTATTGCTTTTCCCACTCAGCATGAAATTTTAGCCATGTTCATTTGAGGTCTCATGGGTGCCTTTTGGGTCAATTAACTCTTCCCTCAGATAACAGAAAAACTCTTGGAAACTTAGCTGTTTACTCTTCACAAATGGACACAAATGCATTATCTAGTGATGCTGTAAGAAACCCCAATTTCTGTCTATCAGTAAAGTTCAAAGCCAGTTAAACTTAAACTGTCAAACACTTAATGGAACAGAAATGTGTTTTTCACAGTCTTGTTTATTGTTAAGACTGAGGTGCATAAGTTCCATAATGGTATATTACTTGTTTTTCTCAGAGGCTTTGGGAAATTATTACTTTCCCTATAGAATCATCATCTTCCCATTCAACCCTGGCCTCTGCATCTGCTGGTCTTCATCTTTGCAAAAAAACTATGCATCATCAAAGCTCTGTGGTTAAACTGCAGGCTCTCTTTCCATTAAGAGAAATTCAGAGGTGTTAACTATGGAAGGTTCCCAAAAAATGCCTTGCTGTGACCAAGATCCATTTTTCCTCTCTTTCTCCTTCTGAGCAACTTTGGTTAGTAATCTCAGAAAATATACACTTTCTCTTCAGCCAGATGTAAGGTGTTTTTGGTTAAAATGCAGGGGTGGGGAGAAGAAAAACTGAAGTACTTTGAAAAACAACAAAACCTGAAAAATACTTGTTACCTAACAGTCTGTTTCTTTGGTCTCTGGGCCCTTAACCTGTTGTAGAGTTTTCAATTTTGGTTAAATTCCTCTAGCTATGCAGATATGCAGGGATTCACAGAGCAGAATTAGCTTCTCATTCCCCAGAGTAGAACACTCCCTTTTCTCTTATTAATTGACACTTGGAGTCTCAGTAACTCACTCTGAGATATCAGTAGGAGAATGAACAAAAAGAGTTCATTTACTTTGGATGGGAGGAATAACAGCAAGCTAACAACATGGCTAACTGCTTTCAGCAACAGGCCTCAACAGACTAACACCGCATCCAAAAGATACAGAGAAGAGAGGCAAGGCTCTCCTTGAAATTAGAGGCAGGAAGGAACAATTGATTGATTGATTGATTGATTGATTGATTGATTGATTGATTGATTGATTGATTGATTGATTGATTGATTGATTGATTGATTGATTGATTGACAGTCACTCCAGCCCAGAAAGGTTCCTCCTATCCAAACCTACTAAAGACAGCATGTGAGGTTGTTAAAACTCCAGCAGATCCCTGGTCGGAAATAGTACCAAGCTATCTGGAACTAAACAGATAAGTCTTGTGAAGGCCTCTTGTGTGTTCCCCAAAATCAGTTCAAGAAGGCGGCAGAGAAATGAAAGAGTGAGATAGTATCAAGGGCAGGATATAGTTGCCATTTCAATCCAAAATCTAGTTTGGAAGGGGCAATTACGAACTCAGAATGATGCCAGATTTCTTGAACAGGAGGAGTTGCCACTTTGAGATTTTTTCCCCCATCTCAGAGTCTCACTCCATATGCCTAGTTATGAAGTGGTGAGGAAAAGGTGCACAGAGGTCTTTTCTCCTTTAAGATAGCTTCTCATCTTCTAGACAGAAGTCCTTTTGCAGCTAAGCCACTGAGCATCCTTTAAACTGAACCCTGGTATATTCCCGTTTAATCATTTGATCCCAATCCTTTCACTGTCAATTTGAGGGAAATGTGCCTTCTGAGAGCACCCATCTCTATCCATTCACACTCCTCAGATAAAAAAAAACTATATGAAAAGATCTGGATTTGCATCTTTTTTTAACAAGCAGGTTGTTTTTAGTTTCACTCAGACACTGGAAAACAGGTTTCTTTGGGATAATATTCTTCCCTTCCAAAAAATTTCTAAGTGAACATCACAGTTTCTGGTAAGTAAGTTTTACTCTTCCGTCTCCAAATAGCACAACACACACTATAGCCTCATAGAGCCACTGTGAAATCATCCTGGCATTGGGAACTCAGTCACCATGGCAACCCAGGCTCCTTTTCTTTTTCTTTTTTACCTGCATTGTTGTTTAAGCTTTTCTTTCTCTTCTTCCCTGCCCTGTAGGTTAACCTGGATCTGACCTCCCTTCTTGACAACGAAGATAAAAAGTCAAAGAACAAACGGGGAGTCCTGCCAAAACATGCTACAAATATCATGCGCTCCTGGCTTTTTCAGCATCTTATGGTGAGAGAAGTCAACAAGTGTGTCTGAGAGATTAACCCCTTGGGATTGTTTTCCATTAAGAACAAGCCAGTCTGAAGGGCATTTGCCATTTGTGTTTATGAACTGCTTTGCTTATCTGGGGTAATAAGTGAAAAACTTCACAGTAGCCAGGAAGGGGAGGGGGGTAAGGTTTAAACTTCAAGAATCGATGCAATATTCTCTTCCCCGTGGAATAGTGATTAAAATAGGTAGCTCATGCCTAAAGATGCAACTCAGTTGCACAGTAACAAAAAGAGTGACTTACACTGCTGGAGCTCAGACATCTTCAGACAGCTTGAGGGTGGTATTTAGAGATCCAGTGATCTTGCCTGGGTTTGCATACCTTGAGGCTCTGGAATCTCCACACTGCCAGATGGCTGTGAATCTGGCTGCAAAGAAATGTTCACATTTTAAAAGTACCCATGGGGAAAAAATCTGCACATTTCAAATGCACACAGAGGTTTAGTCATGTATGTGAGCCTTCTGTGAGTGCAGCCACCCTACGTGGCTTTGGGTGAGCTGCGAAGTCCCAGGATGCCCCCAAGAAAAAGGGGATGGCAGACTACCTCTGAGCACCCTCTACCTAGAAAATTCTGAAAAGAGTCACCAGAAGACAGAATTGACGGACAGCATATGATGATGATGATTATTAGTCAAGTAACATGTATAGTTTAAAGCATTCACGAATAAGCATTTTTTTAAAAAAAAAGGAAAGAAAGGGGTTGATCTTGCCAAGTAACATGTACAGTTTAAAGCATTCACGAATAAGCATTTTAAAAAAAGGAAAGAAAGGGGTTGATCTTGCCTTTAAACCTCCCACTTCTCCATTCACACAACCCAATCGCTGGCACCAGTTATCCTGCCTTCTGAAAAAAGAGAGAGGCGCACACTGCCACATGCCGGACCCTGTAACACTCATTTTGAAGAGGAGGAGGAGGAGGAGAAAGGTCTTTCTCCTTGCCACCTCTGCCTGCCTGCCTGCATACCCCGGGTGTTCCTTGGAGAAGAGTAGCTTGGCCTTGAGGACTCTTGAGGCAATATAGTGCATACCCTGGGTGTTCCTTGGCGAAGAGTAGCTTGGCCTTGAGGACTCTTGAGGCAATATAGGTAGTCGTGACACCGACACACACACACCCCAAAAAAGCCTGGTTCTGGCCATTTTTTGTCTACTTCCTCCCATCATGCAAGAGCACCATTCACATAGGCATCATTCAAGAAGTGGTCAGGGTATATAAGGGGTGCAGGTGGCAAGAAAGAGACTGGTGAAAAAGCTGGGGCAACAGATAGTAGGTGGTGGCAGCGGGCACCACTGCAGTCTGATCAATGGGTAGACAACAGATAGTAGGTGGTGGTGGTGGCGGCGGCAGCAGGCACCACTGCAGTCTGATCAATGGGTAGAGCAGCCTTGATCAGACATGGAGGTAAGAAAGGGAGCGCATCTGCGCTTGTCGACTTTACAGGCGTGCAAAACCTAAGTCCGCTCACATTGCCGTATAGTCCACTAAGAAATCACAACCCTGCCAGTTCCAAGGGGTCCATGAAGTACAGCTTACTGCACAAGAGTAAACACCTTTGATTTTAGTACTTGGAAGTGCCAAATGTTCACCACAGTTTCAGCTTTCAGAAATGTGATTTCTGGAAGACTGAAATATTTCTTAAAACCTTCCCGGTGGTGATCTTTTTCCCTGTTGCTTAATTCCTTTAGGGTTTGTCTCCTTTCTCAGAAGATTTTAAGAATCACACTGTGATGATGACAGCACTACATCGTAAGACCAAATCAAGGGCCAGGGTAGTGTAGTGGATAGAGTGTCCAACTAAGACTCAGAAGGCCTGGGTTCAAATCCCTAAACATTCACTGGGGGGAAGGGGACTTTGTCTCTGGCATCTTCTGTGATTCTGTGAAGATGTGACGAAAACTACTGAGGGATAATGAAAAATAAAGCTGGTTGAGAATGAAGATAACATTTTGTTGAAGTGTGGTCACGTGGATGTTCTAAACTGATCAACTACCCTCATTTATTCAAAGGTGGACATTTTCTCACCACCAACAACAACCTTGGGGGGGGGAGGGGAACGACAAGTATTTCACTACCAGAAATATTGTGGGGAGAGGGAACGTTTTTCATTTACGTTCATCATTACACAACATCCTAGCAGCTTAGTCCATCACACTTGGTAAAAGTGTGCCAGCCAAGCTGCCTTGTGGAGGACATTCCAAAAACGGGGGTGCCAATCGAGACAAGACTGTTGTCTCTTAGATGACAGCTGGTTGGCAGGTTCAGGCTGGAGCAGGACGTCCTTTGGGAGCCTAGCACAAGTTGTGATCATTACACCAAATTGTATCTGAAAACACACAAAGCCAATGGAGACATTTTAAAATAGGCAAGAAGATGTTATCAGATCACTGTGTAAGAGACAATATGGAATTATTTTTACATTATATATATATATATTAAAGGCACACACCTGGTAATTGTGCACCAGGGCACGGGGCTCCTTCACTTAGAGGGAGGAGTTCTCTGTTACAACCTCTGTTGCAAAGACTGCCCCTGATTCTAGCAACCGAAGCCAGTAGACCTGGAAGGGGTGTAACAGGGTTAAGTCTGTAATAGCAATGCAGTCCCGGGTTCTAGGAGAAGTACCGTAATTGCCTCCACTGCTGTTGGGCAGCTCAGCCAAGGTGCACAGAAATGAACCCTAAGACCGTATGGGCAAGTCTGCTGTCTTTACTGTATCTGCACCAGGACAGTGTCAAGCTTAGAGCCATGTTTTGCCACACACCCTTCACTCTGCCTGATATGTGGCATGTTTTATCCACACCTTAGCAAATAATGTTGCTCCAGATTGTTACTAGTCAACCTTGATAGGAAGAAACATTTCACTGAAACCCATTTCTTAAAGTTTGGGCAGTCTCTTCTCCACCTGTTTGTAGCTGCTTCTGATCTACAGCTGTGACGCTAGTGCTTTAAAGGGAGGACTTCCCCCTAAAATGGCCCAAACCACTTAGAGAATAAGCAAGTAATCTCATGTCATCCCCAGTTAGCTGCACAATAAGGCCACAAAGGCAAATCAGAATGAAGACAAGAAGTATTGTCCTTCAGCTAGGCTCCCCTCACTCCCCCGCCCCTCTTTTAAAAGCATCCGAACAGACTGAGATTTTGCAAATACTTGACAGCAATCCACTCCATATATTTAGGACTTTGTCTGCCACCTACTGCCCAAAAACAGGAACTGGTGATTTCCCAGATGGCTAGTGTCCATCTAATATGCAGCTACACCAACTCACCGCTCTGTAATATGATTTGCTGCACAGCCATTTTTCAGGTGCACAAAAAGTTCTCACCTCTAATAAAGCAAAAGATTATCATCTGTTGAAGAGCTTCATTCACCATTTCAGGCTCCCTCATCCAGATCTGCTGAACTGTTTATACAGTTCTGCCTTCCTTATTTTATTTATTTATTTATTTATTTGATTTTTACCCCGCCCCTCTAGACCATGTCTACTCGGGGCAGCTTACAAAACTAACTGGAAACAAATCTATCTATATAGTCATTTCGGTCATTGGCATGCTTTTATGGCAGAGAGGGGCAGAGGCTAGCTCTGGGTATAATGGAATGTCTCTTGTTTTGTTAGCTGTCGATCAGAAAGGATTATAACTTTAAATTGTTTCTTTGATAGAAGCATGTAAATGAGTCCTCACTTACCTAAATTAAGCCACAAAATGAAATCTATTGCCATGTTTTGAATTTTTGGTTAAATTCTTCTAGCTTGTAGGAGAAGTGCAGGAATTCACAGAGCAAAATAGCTTCAGGTTCCTCAGATTAGTCTACCTTTTTTTCTCATTAGCTGGTACTTGCTGTCTCAATAACACTTTCCGACATTAGTGGTAGAAAGAATAAAAGGTTTCATTACTTACAATAGAAAGATCAAACAGCAAGCTGACAAACATGACTACATTTAGTAACAAACTTCAGCATACTCTAGAGAGGGAAAAAGCTCTCAGCAGAGAGGCGGGGCTCTTTGAATTCAGAGAAAGGAATGATTGTCCATTGCCAGAGAGATTGACAGTCACCCCTGCCACATGTTCTCCAGGCAGCATGCACTGTTGTAAAAACTTCAACAATCTTGGAGTAATCAGAAGGAGGTTTTAGGTTTTTGTATAAAAGGATTCTGAGCTTAACTCTGTCCTGGTACTCAAAGTTATGTGCTCAGAATTCTTTAATTCTGCATCTCTTCAGCACCAATCTCTAGATGGTGGATGACAGAGATTTATTTAAAACAGCAATGGGGTTATTCATTTCTTCAAATAAATTTTAGTTTGGACCTATTCTGAATTTGATTGTACTCAATTGGGGTACAAATTTTTCTTCTGAGTTGGCGTGTTGTTGATGGCTCTCTCTTCTTTATTCTCACCTGCTGTTTCTCTTCCTCATTGGCTTTCTGTGCCTCTTCTCCCATCCCATCCCAGCAAAATAGGGCCTCGAAAGCCTTTTGTTTGACATCTGAGGAAGAGAAGGCTACTACCAAGAGCCAAGCTAGACATTGCAGATAAAACTCTTGTTATATCTGAAATCATGAGTGTTCAAGAGACATGATTCAGGCATGAGAAATCTAACTTTAAAAAGAAGAACATAATTATGTCCTGAATGCCAGTCATAAAGCAAAGCAAACTTATTTGCAGATGGTGTAATGTAAGGCAAGCTCCTGATGGGACAATCAGACACTTCAGAGTTGGGTGGGACAAGTTCACCAAATCTCAAAGTGGAAACCCAGAAAAGTATAACATGCAGAGCAATCTTGCACGAATGTGTGGAGGCGATATGATTTTCCATGGTACATTCATCTCCATTAATTAATTTTCCCCCCAGAATTTTTGTAAGAGTGCTGTAGTTTATAGATGGGAGATACTATGAAGCATCCATTTCTGCCTCATCCCTTCACAACAGTTGGAGCCACTGCAGAACCATCAGAAAGCATTTGG